GTTTTTGTGTTTTAATGAATATTCCTGTTCTCTATTAATCTGTTAAGTCGATTTATTGTACGTACATCACAACATGGTAATCTTCAATGCTTCGTCAGTAAGAAAGATATATAACCGCATGACGTTTTTAATATCTAAAAACGATTATGTTTATTTAGAGAAATTGTGAAAAAGTACTCTCTAAAAGTCAGTCAGTGCATAAACTGCACAGACTTCCAAGACACTTCCTACAACGTTTAGAAGACGTCTCTTGGAAATTTGTGTTGCATAAATGCATTTTTGTTCTACTTTAACAAATAAACTGAAATCATATACATACGACGTGAAGGTCCACACGAAGAGAATTTTCTCTTAAAATTTGCCCTGAAAATCATGTAATCGTGAGACGACATGGCATTTTGAAGACATTTATGAGTTTTTTGTAATTTTACCATTCATATTAGTATGGTACATAAACTGTATGGTAAAAGTAAAATAACTCATAATGGTTGTTGTCCCATGTTGTCCATAATTACTTGATTTTCGGGGTAAATTTTTGCAAAAAATTTTCTCCGTGTAGACCAAACCCAAGATGAGTTGATCACTGACCGTTCTTATAAGAAACAACGGAATATCTTACGCTACCCAGTCAGAAATGACTTGTCAATCGACGTCGATCGACAAGGAATTTCTCCCTGGGTATATAGATAGGCGTAAAACTAAATGTTTTGCCGAAAATACAAAATAATGTGTAGTTTAAATTATTCTGCGCACAAAATACAAACTAATGGGTAAAGGTTCATCAAATTTGTACATAATTATTTTCTGAATACTTTATATCATAGAATTTAAAGTAAATATAGCGTCAGTCCGTGCTTTGAAATACAACATATACCGATAGTGTGGCGGTTAAAGTAAGTATACTTATCATTTATATTCGCAATACAATTAATGAATAAGTTTCTCCGAAAAGGTGATAACTAGAATTATTACTACAACTATATGCAGAACTATGCACGCAATACGTTCAAATAGGTTGCATAAAGTGCGTGTTCTCTACAAAAATTTAAAATTAAAATGCAAAAATTCTAAATAATCTTACATTGCAGTAAGTAGCAATTGTTAATGGAATAATTTTTCCTGCAGTGATGTGAAAGGGATGATTGGCTCGTATCATTAATAAAATAAGATTTCTCGACTTCTTGGGTTCCAATTTATACCATTCTAGGTCGCATATAGCACGATATACTGCATTGGACTTGACAAATATATGTATCAGAACATGTTAATGTATGAG